GGCCTTCTAGAAACATATTCCTTTCTCTTAACTGTGGGTACCTTGAGCCAATCAGGCTTAAGGCAGAGAGCCATGTTCTTAAATTTATTTTTCCCTGAGCCATTTTTTAAAATGAAGGAATATGCTGGATGCTGCATTAGTTCCTGCATAAGTTTTAACAATAGATATGATGAGTATGTACTTGAATTGATTTTGCTTCTGGGGCTGGATTGGCCTTTAATGCATAAAGCATCTCTCTATTCTATCTTTTATTGTTTGGGGTTGAGAAACAGTTGCCTCTTCCAGCTCTAAAAGTGTTCACATTTCTAGTCTCTCTTTTCCCTCTGGCAGGTAATGAAAACATTTGAGATGGTAACTGTGCAATTTGTCAGGGTATCTGAGCGACGGTGATGACAGAGCCTGTCTGGGACCTCTGATGGGCATGTAGCATGAGTGAGCAATAAACTTTTGTTATCCTGGGAATTTGCAGTTGTTGGTACTGCAAACAATCTCTTGATATATTAGGCAAACTTATTTCCTTCTCTAAGGTTTCAGCTTAGAGGTTTCCTCTCTGTTGTAGCCTCATTTGGAAACAAAATTAAACCGTTCTTATGAGCCAGTAACTCTCCGATGATGCCTGTGGAAATGATAGATGTTTAACTGTCCTGAGCAAAGGGGGAATCTGTCACCATAGAAGGTTCCATAGGCAGGGTGGAGGAAAAAGCAGCATACATTAAGTCAATCTCGGCTGATAGAATGTAAGAGTTGTTTTTCTAAGATGGAAGCTAGAGAGTTTCAGAATCACAAAAAATATTTTCTTCGGCACCAATTTAAAATTAGAAATGAGATTTTTTAAAAAACAGCTAGGTTATTGGAAGTGAAAATGATGAATTGGTTGATAAAAAACGGCCAAGAACTAATGTCACACCTTTATCTCTGCCCCCAGAGAAGAGGTCTCTAGCTATCCCCTGCAGAGATGGAAGTCAGGAAGATGGACTTTCCTCTTTCTCCAGCTGGATTCTTGCTGTAGGGAAATGCTCGTGCTGCCTGGTGGGGCACATGGAGAGGGCTATTGTTCAACATTTATTGAGCGTGTATTTGGTGCCAGACACTGGTCTGCATTTATCTTTATCTATGTCTTCACAACAGCTCTATGGCATAGGTACATTTATTAGTCCCATTTCACAGATGAAGAAAATGAGGCCCAAATATGTTAAGTAGGAATGCTTAGGCATAATGTCTGCTCAGTGAGTAACAATTAATGAGGACAGTGTACCCCTCCTCTGTTTTTCTCTTGGCTATTTGGAGGCTGGGAGGCAGATTAATTTTGCAAGTATCCTGCTACCACAGCTTTCATACACCAGCTCTGCCGTGGACACAGCCACTGTGTTCTTACAGCTGTGAGTCTCTCTTCACGTCTCGCTTGTCTGTGTGTCATTTGCTCAAGATTCAAAGTCCTGGGCAGGAGGGTCCTTTTGGCTAAGCTGGTCTAGCCCGAGCTTAAGTCATGCTTTTGTGTTCCTCACTCCTACTCGCCTGCTTGGTGCTGCAAGACATAGGCATCAGCTGGCCCCCTTCTCAGAGCGACCCTCTCTGCATGTACTTTGGGTTAAAGCTTCCTACACCAGCTAAACCAGGAAGCCCATCTGCATTTACTTTCTATCTTCCAAAATCTGTTGATATCTCTTTTTCTGCTAAAGTGCCTTCTTCCATCCTCTTTGTATTTGTGGTCTATACTCTTTTGATACATGTACCATTATTTGAGTAAGGCTTAGGATGGAAAATACATAAATGAATATATCCAATCTGTTGACTTGAACTGAAAGTCTGTGATGGAATATCCATTCTCAAATGGGAGCAACAGAGCATGTTACACCTGCTCACAACTAGCAGTGCCAGGCCAATATTTAGCTGCCTCCAAAACTTCCCTCACTTATATACACCCTTGTATAAGAAACTCCTATATACACCAGGGCTGTGCTAGCCGACGAGGTCCACTATGACAGCTTGGTGACGTGCTGCTAACTGTTTAGCAGCTGGCCTGGGGAATAGATTTCCAGCTTAATTCTAGTTTATCACTTGGATTAGAAGTAACCAGACATAATATCCCTATTCAAATATCCTGGAAAAACTTTCAAAGTTCACAACCAGTGAATTAGCCACATGAGCTATCTCTTCCTATGATTCTGCCACACAAGCTGTGTCTCTGGCTATGATTCATTTGTGCATTCAACATATTACATATTCAACATATATAACTGAACACCCACTATGTGCCAGGCATTCTTCTAGGTGCAGAGGGCACTGCAGGGAATACGAAGCTTATATATCCAGCTACTGGTTATTTGAAAGCCTTACATAATTGTAAGAATGGAGTGGTGAGAGGGAGATCAGGCATTGTGGAGCTGATCTAACTTCCTTATACCCAAACCAAACAAGCTGGTGTGTGTGTGTGTGTGTGTGTGTGTGTGTGTGTGTGTGATGTTTCCTCCTGAAGTGGGCAATGTGAGATGTACCTTTCCAAGATTTGCTCTTCATCTCCTTTTAATTCCCGTCTTCCTGTCTCTCATCTTTCTTCCATTAACCCCATCTGTCTGATGTCCCTACTACCTTCCCTTTCTCCTGGTACCCACCAGTCTTCCCACAGAAATCATCAAGTCTCTGCCCATTTCTGCTCTTTCTGTTTCCCTCAGCCTCCCCAGCCTTCCATGTTGGATGTCAATTGCTTTTCTCCTCAAGTTACAATTGCTCCATGCTGGGCTCTGCCTCTGCGTCCTCTGGATTCCCCAGGGCTGAGCCCTTGTCTCTGGGAACTGGAAGGGTGGGAGGAAAATCTTGGTGAGAGATTGCCATCCTGGGTGGTGGCTGGGTTTCCCCTGGATTACCTAAAATCAAACATATCTCACTACCTCCAGGATTAATTTCTTTCAGAAACTCCCTGTCCTGACCTAAATAACAAATATCATTTTCTTCCACTCATCTCGACAGTCCTCCTAGCAGAATTAATATGCTGGACTTAAATATGCTAAAAGAGCTCACCTTGCCGCTGAGGTAATTTATCAGACACCTTAGTCTCATTGAACAATAAAGCATATCTTATCCAAGTCAGGTTTCCTTAAGCCCTGGAGGCAGGATAAACTCAGTTCATCCAGTCACATTGATATTATTTGAAATTTAACTCATTTGTTTAACTTGCTAATAATCTTAGAGGATACTTTTTGGAACAGAAAATATTTCCAGCATAAAACTTCTGGGAATAAAGAATTTTCCAGAAAACAGAGTTTGGTTGTCTATTTACCTTTCCATAGAAATGGAGTAGGCCATTAATTTTGTATTTTTAATTTTAAATTCTTTTTAAGGAACATAAAAGACAACAAATAAGCCAATCTCTTCATTGAGTAGCCCCAAATTCTTATAGCAAATCCATTTAGCCAAATGAATAATTTGAAGCCAAATTGAGAGCCAAAATTTGGCATAGAATTGAATTTCCCTAAACACCAAACAAACAAGTAATGTGTGCTGCATTTAGAACTGACTAATAGGCGTAAAGTGTTTTAGGGTCCCAGATGATTTTGAAACTCATTTAGTGGCTCGTCTCTGCTGATGCCAGCCCTCTTTAGAAGCTATAATGAAAATCGTTCCTGTTAAAAAAAAATCGATATGCTCTGGCAGAAGCAGATGTAGGAGTTAACAGCGCTAGGCTGTTCACGTTGGCATCCTGGCCCTACCACTTACTAGCTGAGTGACTATACTCCCTGAGCCTTAGTTTCCCCATGTGTACAATGAAGAGAACAAGGTACTCTATCTCACATGGTTGTTCTGAGTCTTATTTCAGTTTTCTTTTTCAGCACACACTTAGGTAGTGCTCTGTGCCAGGCACTGTTCCAAGACCTGCAAGATATTAATTTGTTTAGTTCTGATAACTCTATAAGCTGTGTTCTATTATCTATTTAACCACAGAAAGGTTAAATAACTTAATTGAGTTGATACACAGAACGTGTTTTAAACAGTGTCTGGTAGACGGGGAACACCAGTCACTGTTGACCACCATAGACAGATCTCCTCCTGTGCATCTCTGTCACGGTAGGCTCTCTGCAGCAACTGTCTGTTTCTCTCAGACGAGGATGTGTAGCCCAGCACAGTGCGCCGTGCCCAGCACAGAGGAGGTATTCAGGATTATGATTAAAGAGCAGCTAATTAATATTTCTTTCTCTTCATCATCTCTGAACCCTTTTTGAAACACAGATATTGATGAAAAAGAGAACGTGGGCCGTCAGTTGTGCCCTGACCCTTTGCCGCACCATACAGGCAACACAGCTCCACTGCCACAGCACGCCTTCATCGCAAGGACACCCACCTTCACCCTCTCCTTTCTGGTTTTACTTTGAGGATTGAGGGACTGAAGTCAGGCGGCAGGACTCCATTTTCGCGTGAACTGGGGGGTGGGGAAGGGGTGTTCTGAAGCGTCCACTAGAGGGCGCATATCAACAGGCCAGAGGAGGCCAACCAGATGGCTGAAGTAACAGGGAGAAGGGCAGTTTCTCAAAGGATGGAGCCTAGATGGGAAAAGTCCCATTGATCTCATTCTCTTCCCACTGGCTTGCCAGAGGGACACACAGAACTTTTCTCAGCTTTTTCACAAAGGTCTAAGTCTCGTCCAAGGAGAAAGTGATCTAAATGGGGGGTCAGGGATTCTTTGCCTGTTCAGAGGAGTCCCAGCCTTGTGCTGCCCTAAGACAGAGCCCAGTGTTGCCAGTGACTATGCAGCCCAGGCCAGACCTGTGTTCTGAGGGTGCCGTGTCCCAGAACCCAGGGAAAGTGGCCTCAGGGGACGGGAGAGAAGAGAGGCCAAGTGCCAATCCCACCTGCCCTGGGAGTGCAGCCAGCAAACCTCGCTGAGAGCCAGCGGAGCGGTGCTGTCCTGATTGCTGAGACTCTTTGGGGGTTACTTTCTACCTGGTATGACTCCTGTATCTGCTGTATGCACGGAAGGTCCTTAATAAATAACTACTAACTTTATTTCTTTCAGAACACTGGTTCAAGTCTTGCTCTTCTTTGCAGTCCTCTAACTTTATTTTTAGCCTTCTGACAGCTTTTTCTGGCATTTCTTTCTCCATTTCCTAATGAGATTTAAAGAATCCGAGGAGGTGGAGAAAGCTCTTCCTGACCTCCAGTAACCTCGCCTGAAGTGGAATTGCCCTTGAGCCTTGAGTACTGAAAACCCGTCTCTCCACTTCTTCCTGGAGGAGTTCCCAAGGTGTGGGTCTGGGATCGCTGGAGCTTGGGCCCTGGAACTCCAACCCCATCTCCTCTCTCTTTCCATCTAGGAGCCATCCTGAAGCTTGGCTCTGGAAGGGCCTTTGTGTAGTAAGATGTTGGCAATAATAAGCCCATATGTTCTACCCTTCCCCAGAAAACAGGAGGAGGAGCCTCTTTTCCTTTCTGATGACTATTTAGGAATCTCAGAGTGGGAGGGTTTTTAGGACCCCAATTCTTGGAAGAGTTTAGGAGGGGCTCAGAAATTCTTGGAATACCTCTGACTTCCCCTACATCATGGTTCATATTCTACCTAGGTCACTACTGTATATTCACAGAAGACAAATGTTGAGGATGGCAGGAAGGAGGGAGGACACCTGTGGGCATTTACTATAGTCCATGCATTTGAGATACATGATCTCATTTAATCCCCAGCAGTCTTTCTGGTAATAACTACCATTCCCACTTTACAGATGAGGAAACTGAGGCACAGAGCCAGTAAGTAATTTGTGTAAGGTCATACAGGGAGGAAGTGGCAGGGTTGGATTTGGACTCAGAGTCTTATTTTAAAGACATCATTTTCTAACTAAACCTTAGCTGCCTTTCCTTAGGTTCTTGCTGTTCCTCCTTAGGGAGTGAGGAAGGAGGAAGTGGTTTGGACCAGACTCCTGGAAAACAGTAGTCATCACATGATGAGGCAAGCAGTCCGGAACCCTGAGGGGGCGGGATTGAGGAGGTGGGTTATGGGGAGCCCTGGAGGGCAAACTGCTGGTGTTGAAGACCAGATGTTAACACGGGCAAGGAATGGGGCTGGAGGCTGGGTGCTGGTTATTGGGAAAGAAGTATGGCTAGCCAGACTTCCTGCTTCCCTAATCCCTTCACCTGGGCATCATGGCAAAAATCATATTTACACATGGCCTGCTCCTTCCTCTTCCAATAAACACAGCATCCAGGAAGTTGTTTACGGTTTCCTAAATTAATTCTATGGCCTAAATGGTGAGTGTATCTTCACTTACTCATCTCCAAATCCTTCTGGTGGTTTCTGGATGCCTCCTTTGGCTCCACCAGGCACAGAGGGTGCTGGTGTTCTGACCTGGTTTGCAGCATTTAGAAAGGATTTCTTAACATCAACAAATTCAATTTACCAAACTTCTGACAATAGGCCACAATGCACATTGAGTCAGAGACTTTAGACAGAGCTGAGCTCCATTCTAGGTTCTGCCACTTTCTACTTGTGTAGCTTGGGGGCCATATTAACTCCTCTGCAACCCCAGGTGCCTCACCTGTTGAAAATGGGATAAGAATTCTCCTTCATGGGTTGTAGGGAAGACTCAAAGACACGCAATCGCGGGCATCCATGAGCACTCAGTAGGTGGCAACATTTGAGGCTGTTCTTGATCTTGGCCTTCTGTTGTGTGTTGGAGCTACAGAGCCAAATACTGCTCCAAGAGGCTCACTGTCTCATGGAAGAGACAGGCCTGTGAGCCAACTAGTGAGACAGCAGCATAAGACCTGCTTCAGTGACACGTGCACAAGGCAAAGGGCTGGCGCTGAGAGGAGGAAATGGGCTCAGACTGGGTGGGAGTGGGGTGACAACTTCCTGGAAGTCATGATCCAAGCCAGGGGTGGAACCCCAACTCTTGTTAATCTGCAGCCACAGTTTGAATGGCCCAGATTTCATCAAGGGTGCCCACTAATCTGCTTCCTGGACGCCTTGCTTGTCTGCCTTACTTTGAAAGCAAAAAGTATTTCTGTTAAAATCAAAGGGCTTCCCCACAAGAAGCTTTGAATTCTGAAATATTCTGGTTCCAGGCACCCTAAATTAATAACAATACACATTTAAAAGCTGGTTGGGGTTGGAAAACTGGAGGGGTTGGTGAAGGGAAGAGTTAGGTACCTACTGTGTGTATGTGGGAAATGAATTAATATTCAGATAGGAATTAATGTTTCTGAGGACCTGATATATGCCAGGCACTGCCATGTACTTATTACCTCATTTAATCCCCACAGTGACGCCGTGAAGGTTTTCTTGTCTCTCTTTTACACATGAGAAACTAAGACTCAAAGTATTTGAGACGTGTGAGCACAGTTGCACAGTAGAGTGGGAGAGTCGCTATTAAAACTCAGGCTTGTCTGGTTCCAGAGCACATGCTCTTTCTGTTCTACCAGCCAATCTCCTGAACGTGTATTTACGCAGGATCCTGCTCCTTCCTTTTCCAATAAATGGCATTTATGAAGTTGTTCATGGTTTTCTGAATTAATGCTATTGCCAACATGGCCAAAATGGTGTGTGTACCTTAAGCATAAATGTGAGAGTTGCCCTTGGGCACAAGAATCTTTCAATATGTCCATCACAGATTGATTATACTAATGGCTCTAATCTCAATTTACAATGGTCTCCTAGTAGCCACACTTTGCAATGTGACTTTGCAGCTCCTCCCATTAGGAGGTAGAATCTATTTCCCTTCCTTTAAATCTGGGCTGCTCTTGTGACTTCGTTTGGCCAATCATATATGGTGGAATGATAGAGTGCCAGTTCTGGGCCTAGGCCTCAAGAAGCCTTGAGAGCATCAGCTGTCACTTGGAACCCTGTCAGGCCTGGGTTAGGCAGCTGGGGGCATGTGAGGGACACATAGACAGAGACTCCAGTCATCCCAGCCATCCCAGATGAAGCCATTGTAGATTCTAGCTGACCTGTTTGTTAACCACCGTCAAGTTTAACTGAGCCCTGCCCAGATCAGCAGAAGCACCCAATCAATGGGTAGACTCATGAGAAATAACAAATGTTTGTTGTTTTAATCTACTATGTTTTGGAGTGGTTTTTAATGCATCCATAGTTAACTGATATAACCAAAAAGTAATTTTCTGTTTTAGTTAGACGCCAGTGAAGACAAGACATAAATTGTTTCACTTATTAGTCAGAACTCCAGTTTGCACTGATTGTTCCCAAGACCTGCTGTACAGCTGTCATCTCGGGATTCCCTTTTATCATCATTTTAGGAATTCCCTTTATTTTGCTTTCTGAATCTTGTGTCTTCCCCCTTCTTGGTAACTCCCTTGTTTTGTTGGAGTCCATCCTTTGGGAGTTGCCTGAGAATGGGTAAATAGGTTTGGAGACAATGCATGTCTGAAATGTCTTCATTCTACCTCTACACTTAATTTGGGGTTTAGCTAAATTAGAATTCTAGCTTGGGAACATTTCCCTCAGAATTTTGAAGGCAGTGTTTCACAGTCCTCTGTCTTCCCATGTGGCTCTTGAGAAGTCTGATTCTGTTCTGCTTCTTGAACCTCTATATGACATCAATTTCTCCTCTCTAGAAGCTTATAGGAGAATCTCTTTGCCCCGATTGTCATGGATTTTTAAGATGATATGCCTTAATGTCGGTCTGCTTTTATCCATTGTGCTAAGCACTCAGTCCTTTTAGTCTAGATATTAACGTCCTTCAATTCTGGGAAATTTTCTCGATTTATTTCTTGGATGATTTCTCTCTCTTCATTTTCTGTTTTCTCTTCCTGCAGCTCCTATTATTTGCATATTAGAGTTCCTAGGATGGAGTTCTACAAAATTCTCTACTTTTCTTATCTTTTCTCCTCTGTTTCCATTGCATTGTCTTTGTTCTATATTCTGGGGTATTTCTTCAACTTTATTTTCCAACATTCTATTGAGTTTATTTTTTAATTTGTACTTTCATCTTTAAATTTTAAAGAGCTTCTTTTGTAAGGTGTCCTCTGAATGTGTCTTTTTACCCCAGCATTGTGTTTTTGTTTCATAGATACACTATCTCCTCTTATCTTATCGAGGTTATTAAAGATCTTTTTTTTTTTTTTGCTGAGGAAGATTTGTCCTGAGCTAATATCTGTTGCCACCCTTCCTCTTTTTGCTTGAGGAAGATTTTCCCTGAGCTAACATCTATGCCAGTCTTCCTCTATTTTGTATATGGGTCGCTGCCACAGCATGGCTGCTGATGAGTGATGTAGGTCTGCGCCTGGGTACTTAACCTGGGCTGCTGAAGCAGAGCATGCCAAACTCAACCACTAGGCCATGGGGCTGGCCCCAAAGACTTTTTTTTTCTTAAGTTTTCTTCTCTGTGATTTGTCTCTGCTTCTCATGTGTGAGTGAGCCACAGAGAGCTGATTAAGAGCCCTGAGTACCTGGTGGGGCTTGAGATGTGATCTCAGTCGTAGATTGCTTTGCTGGCCCGTTTCCTTGGGGAACTATCCTGCTAGTATCTTTAGGGTTTTCTCTCAGGTTTATCAGATTCCCCAGCAAGACTGAGCTTCTGCCTGGAGGATATATGCTTGTCTGCCTGGCATTCTGGGAGCCAAGTTGGGGGAGAAGGCTAGGGAGCCTCAACATTCCAGATGTGTGATTTCACTCCTCACTATGGTTTTCCTAACGTTGATGGTGTATGCCTAGTGTGACACAGACCCTCAGACAGAGACTCTCTATTTTGCCCTTTCCAGGGAATAAACTTCTGGTCTGTTGCTGGGATTGGGAAAAAACAGTCACTCAGTTCTTAGAGTGGGTAAGGAGAGCTGGGGTTCTATCTGATTCTTAAATAGACTTTAAACCCATCCTCCTACTTTTGGCCCTGCCTTCTCTGCCACATCCAGAGGTAGCTAATGCTGCCAATTCCTGAGTCTTTGGGGCATTCTGCTACACAAACCTGGTTGCTTTTCAACTTTCCCCACTGCTGGCTTAGGATTCAGCTTTTCCAAATTTGCTCAGTCAGTTACCAATGAACCATCACTTTCCAGTTTCAAATTTTCGTTGCTATTGTCTCTTCTTCCATTCTCTTTGACCCCATTGATTTGTGCCTTTTTGGAATATGTCTTTATCGTCTCTTTAGAGGCTTACGTGAGGGGATGGAGGTATGTCCACTCTTCTCTCTTTAACTGGAAGTCCCAAAGTAGATCTTGGCTTTAGAAGAACTAACACTTCATGCTATCTTATTTAGTGTGAAACAGGTGGACTACACCTCTCCTATGGAAAATTAAGCTCTCTCCAAAATAAGACTCTCAAGTGATAGACATCCTTGTAATTTTTTTCTTTTAGAAAAAATCAGTGTGAAGCTTCAGCCACCTCATAAACCTTTAACCTTGCACATCTAAATTACCCAGACAGATAATCACAGCTCTCCCCCTCCCAGCCTCCCACACCCCCACCCCCATTAAATCAGAGACTCATGAGTCCATTTCCTTTCCTTTAGCCTTTTAATATTTTCCAATAAGTGCTTTCAACTGGGCAATATACATATCATGCTTTCCTGATTATTACTGGTCCATCAATAAATATACAAAAATCAGAGGGAGGGTGTGCTGTGAAAAATCAAAGTAATAATGGTCATTGTACATGCATGAACAATGAGCTATTCTTTGAAAATTCAATGCAAGTGATTTACAAAAAGGCATACCTATGACATAAAGGTGAAGGGACAATGTTATTCTTATTCTTAAGTACACTTTTCTAGAGAAGTCGGAGGTTTCCTTTCTCCTACTCCTCTGCTGTACTAGTATTGCATGAACATTAGCTATGAAACCAATTCTAGGGGTCATGGTCTCAATATAACACTTTTTGAGAGGTTCTGCTGGAGAAATCCATTCTGCCAAGATAGAATCTATGGAATATGGATATGAAGATATCTTTGCCCCATTTTAGTTTTCACCCAGTGCTAATTTAAAGGAAGCCCCCAGGAGACAGAAAAGATTTACAATTATAGGAAAAATTACATCTTAAGCTTTCAGCTTTGCAAAACTCTCATCTTTGCTCTCTTAAGCTTTGCAAAATAATAAAATACTGGTCCCTTAGTTTTACAAACAAGACCCAGTTTAATGACTTCGCTCAGGTCACCTGGCAAGCCACTGGTAGGAGTGATATGCAGTCAAGTTGTGCTTCCAAAGTTATGCCATTATTTCAAATGGGAAAGAATACATCCTATTCTATGAACATCAGGCAATATTGTGGGGGTTTTGCATCCAAGGATGGAAGGACCTCTCCTATTCCTGGACCTCCTATTCTGGACCTCTCCTATTCCTATCTTGAGAACACAGAGTAACAGACTACAACCATAATAAAAGGAAAGATGATATATAATTCCAAAATAAGATAGAAAACAATCTCCTGTCTCAGCCTATTTGTTGGGAATGTCTAGAAGGGGTGGAAACCATCAAAACTTGTATGACTATCCATGGCTCCAAAGAGAATCTGGGGATCACGTAGAGCCTGGGATAGCCCGCCTGAACCTGATCGTGGAGTGGCTTGTTGCATTCGGGTTACAGAGCCTGAGGGAGCCTGTCTGGGTCTGCAGCAGACCCAGGAAAGCTCTTCGAAGGCAGGGAGCACTTTGACACTGGTGGCAGTAACAACAGAGTTGGGCCTGATGTGGATTTTCTTTTCTTTCAACTTGAAAATGAAAAGAAAACCAGACAGCTGAGTATGGAACTGGCCAGTGATGTTCACAGAAAAAGAAAGAGGAAGTTTCAAAGACCATGGCAGGGAGGAGGGTGTGAGGGTGGATAGGGGAGAGCAGAGGTTGGGAAAGAGGGCAGAAAGTGAGCATCTCTCCTTTAAATACACCCTTCAGAATCAACTCTTGTATAAGCCCAGCCCTGGTTTATGTAGGAGCTTTTCTCTTTTTTTCTTCTTCTTTTTTTCAGTCTGAGAAACATTGCCAGTTAAGCATATTAGTTTAGGCAACAGATGGCTTTTTATGGTGGCCAAAGGAAGGAGGTCTCATTTTATAGGATCCCTAACTTTATAGATTCAATCTCCTCTATTACAAGTAGGCTTGGAAGTTCCAGGACCAATGGGGCCTCTGGAACTTATGAATAAAGACCACAGAGGACTTTCCACGTGGGGCATAAAGCCATTCTTCTCATATTTGGCCATAAACCTGCCTATCTAGTGATCAGATTCCAATGGTGGGAAGCCCTGTAACCTTTTGAGGAGTTCCCCAGCACTTAACTTATCCTGAGTAGCAACTGCCTTGGGGGCAGACAACTGGCTTGCTAAAGTATAAACAAATACAGCCATAAATATACCCAAACAGGATCTACGTCGCACACTCCTCCCCTCACCAACCTGTGCCAATCAGTTGGCTATTGACTTTGGTTTCTTTCACTTCCATTGGCGTGTCCTTTTATCACAAGATGTCAAAAGGCACTTCCATATTGTTTTTGGACATCACTAACTGGGTCAGGATCTATGAGATGGGACCCCACAAATGGTAGGTCATGCAAATGTAATGTGACTTTTCACAGCCCTTCAGGAGAGAGAACAAATGGCCATTAAAACATAAAAGCAGCTGAAGCTCCTTCTTCAGAATTCGGGTTCTGGGACAACAGGACAGAAAGCCTTTGGAGCCTCAGAACTAAAATAGTGCGGTCTTCCTTGATCTTCTATGAGATTTGGTTGAGTGAGTTGGAGTGGGGGCTTAGTGGCTCTGAGATGAAAACTTTCAAGGAGGACCATTCTCACATCTTCCTGATGAGCTGTCAGGACCCAGACCTTGCTGGTTAAGAAGCTGAAGGATCGCAGCACAAAGGGTTAAGGCGGAAGAAATACAGATGTTTATTATGAATCAGCTTAAACCCTTTTATGCCTGTGACAAACTAACAAAAAAAAAAGTCATACTGATCAAAGGACCTCCAGGGTTTAATGTTTCAAAAACACAGATAAATAGGTTACTACAGATAAATAGCTTCACCCTTTGGGTATCTCCCAGAAGCATTGGAAAAATTTCCAGGGGGTCTGTAGAAGGGGATGTGTAACCAGTACACCCCGATCCCCTACCCCACTGGAAAGCAACGTCCAGGGATTGGGCTGCTGGAGGAACAATATAGACCCATTCAAATTTCCTCCCAGGGACCAATCCCTCTTAGCCCTGGAGAATGTCCTTAGCAGGTGGCCGTTACCTGGGAGGTGGGGTGGAGGGAAGGCTGGGGATCGGGAAGATGTATTTGTGGCTTTTGTGAGAAGCCATCCACAGCACACCCCAGGGGGTAAGAGGCTTCTAGGTGGGAACTGGAACGGTCAAATTCTTACTGATTATTAATTGGGCCCTCATTTCAGAAAGCAATGTTGTTTTTATAAATTGAAACTGACTTTGAAAAACAAAACACAAAAAACAAAAAGGAGTAGAAAATTTTATGCTAAAAAAAGATCCCCAATGAAACAATCAGTAGCACACTGCATCTGTGAAGGGTCCCAGCTCCCTCTCGTTTCTTTCTGAGGTTATGGCGTAGGTGCTACACCCCAATCTTCATGTCCACATTCTGCAGGTTCCGCGTCTCGTCGGCTGTCATAAACTGGTCTTGGGTCTCTGACGACTCCTTGTTCACCAAGTGCACCATCTCCTGAGACTTGCTGGCCTCTCCGTTGAGTCCACTTGCCTTTCTGTCCTCCACAGCTCCATTGCCATTGTTGATCACCAGCTTTTTCTTCTGTCCACACCTAATAATTTAAAAAGTCATATGAGAAAGGGGTGTAATGACCCAACTATTCTCGTCATTGTCCTCGCCACCATCATCATCACTACGGTTTATGATGCTCTTACTATGTTTCATCTCACTCACTCCTGACAATCGGCACCTCTCAAAGTGAGGCCTCTGGACCAGCAGCAAAAGCGGCACCTGTGAGCTTGTTAGAAATGCAGATTCTCAGCCCCGCTCCAGACGTATTGAATCTGAAAACTCCAGGAGTAGGGCCCATCGTCTACGATTTAACAAGCCCTCAGGGGCTTCTGATGCCCACTTGGGTCTGAGAACCCGTGGTCACAGCTCTGGGAAGCCAGTGCTATTATAGGTGAAGAAACCTTGGCACTTGGAAAATGCAACGACTTGCCCCTGGTTACTCAGCTTGTAATAAAAGAATCAGGATTCAACTCTGGTATGTCTGACTCCCAAGTCGTAATTCTCCTTCCACCATACTCCGTAATGGGAGTGTTTGCCTCTTTTAAGCACATTAGCAGTTTCTGCAGTCTCAGATAAACCATCGGCATGATGAGAATAAATCATTCTGGTCTGTGTACTCAAGAAAGTCCCATTACTTCCTCTCCCAGCCAACACTTGGTTGGTCTTGTCAAGGTTTTTACTGCATGTTCCGAGAAGAATGAAACAACACTTTTCTAGAAGTATAAGCTCATATTGCTTTTTCCCTAACATTGGTTAACTTCCATATAGCCCTGGATACAGGAGGCTTAACTAAGACAAATTGTTCAGTTACCTGAAGGTTTCTCGGTAACATTACTTAAGATTCAAATGCAGAAGAAGTTTTCCATGGCAGAGCATGACCTTGATCTTGTCTCTGGGTCACAGCCTTGTCATAGCATTGCCTCACCCCATGCTGCCTGACGCAAAGTTTCCTCCTTCCTGCAACATGATCACTGCTACAAATCCAGATGTCAGATTATGCTCAACGGAAGCAAAATGGCAGAACCCCAGAGCTACAAGCAGGGTGGGGAAGGGGGAATGGGCCAGCATTTATCGGATGCCTCAAGAATGCTAGGCACTTGACATGTAATTTCCTGTAATCCTCACAATCCTGCCACGCAGCTATTATTCCCATTATACAGCAGTGGAAATTGAGGTTCAGGGAGGCTTAATAACTTGCTTGAGGTCACACAAGACGAACAGAGTCAATATTCTAATCTAGGCCTTTATGGCCCAAAGCCTGGGCTCTGCCTAGCTCTATTCATGCTGCCAACCATCTGGAGATTTGGAAACAGTATGACCTCGGAATTGTTCACTTTGCCGCTGGATATTTGGAGTTGTAGAGACAAAGCCTCTATTATTCATGATCATGGGCTATTCCCTCTATGACTGCCAAGGCCATAAACTTTAATCTCTTGTTTGGGGAAATAGAAATTATACCTCCTGAACAGGAGGTAGATCCTGTCTCCTCCGCCATCATGCTTGATGAGGGGTGGAGGGAAGGATGTCTGAACCGTGGAACAGATCCGTGGGGCTGGTTATATATATGGATGCAGTCCACATAGACCAGAGCAGGGGCTTGGAAGGTCTGTTTTTGAGACCTTACTGCCGTGTGACCTGAGGCAACTCACTTAACTTCTCTGAGCCTTAGTTTTCTTATCTGTAACATCAGGCTATTAAGAGTACCACTCTCAGAGGACTGTGCAAAGCCGCTGAGACAGAGCCTGCACTGGATACACAAGTCTATTGTCATTGCTGGTTGCTCTCAGGATGTGGGATGAGGAAACCAAGGCCTTGGATAAGCACTTAGAGCAGTGGCTGGAAGACAGCTGATGTTCGAGAAGCCTTGGCTGCAGTTGTTGGTATAACAAGAGCCACACGCACTGGGTTCCGCTTGTTTCTCCTGGTGGCCTCCACCTGCCTTGTTTTCTTTACTGTGACGATGACTTAAAGGCCGAAGGTGGGATGCTGCTGGTATCATTTCACATTCTCAGGTGATATCTCAGGTATCCTTCATAGGAAAGGGGTCTTATTAAAGTAATTTCCATTTCCCACCTACTGGGTGGTTTAGAAGTTGAATGAAATATTGCGGGAAAGTGGTTTATAAGCATAAAAACATGTTTGTGCACGGGGGTTGAGGTGGGGATTAATGTTATCAGTCTGAACGAAGCTGGTTCTGAAAGTGAATCACAGTTGACCTGTAGTCACAGTTGACCTCGGGTTTCGTCGTTCCGCCTGTATTTCTCTTTGGATTTATGCGTCTCTGTTATCTGAGTTCCGTCAGGGGGGTAGGATGAGTCTCATAAATGACTCAGTCCAATATTTAGTGCTCCAGGCATTTAATAAGCACTTTTAAAAGTCAAGTTCTAATTTTTTTCATTCTTCTTAGTTACAGGAATTTTTAAAAGAACATTAGAGCTGCAGGGATCAGAGGTCATCCAGCCCAGCCTCTTCATTATGTAAACTGGAGACTGAATCCAAGAAGGCAAGGATATCGTCTGACGCTTCACTGCTAGCCAGGGCAGTGCCTACATAGCATCTACAACTTAGATTTTCTGAGTCCAAAGGTCAGAGACCTCTGTGAACTGCATCTTGCCTTTATCTCCTTTCCCCATAAATCTCAGGCCTTAGCCAAGCGTGCAGTGACCACACAGCGTGGAAGGAGCCAGATGGCAGCCTCGCCAGGAGAGGGTGTGCAGGCTGGTTGGGGCTTAGAAACCAGGCAACTCACACTCAGGGTGTGGAGGAATTTACCTTGAAAGACTTAGGGGGGTAACTTAACGACTGATCTTAGGTCTCTTCGACCTGACAATCCTTAAAGATATGGAGAGATTTAATTGCATTGCGCTGTACACTAGCCCCTAGCCGCATGTGACTATTTAAAATTAAATAAAATTAGAAATTCACTTCTTAAGTCATACTAGCCCATTTTGAGTGCAAAGTAGCCACAAGTGGTTAGTGATTGTGTATTAGGGTAGATGTAGCACATTTCCGTCGTCGCGGAGATTTCTACTGGACAGCGCTGTTGTAGAGGGCAGAACAAGGTCGAGTGCGCGTAGGTGACAGGGAGCTGTCTGCAGCTCATGAGCGGGGAGACACTTCTGAATCATGGAGCTTTACAGAGGGACAACCAAGCCGAGGGTGGATGCCTGCCTGCTGGGGTTTACAGAAAAGACGGTCTCTCCCACGGGAGAGGGAGCTGGGGAAGGCCTTTTCTGCACAATCAGCATAGAAACATCTTTAATCAGCCCTGTTTTGTGAAGCCTTCTCTGGTCAGATCCTCACAGTTTTTCTTCTCTTCATACTAATTGGATAAATTCTTTAAACGAAAGGCACCTAACTTCTTCTCTTGGGCCTCATCCAATATCTACCAACCCTACTGACTCCTAAAACAACTGCTCTTAAGGAGAGTGAAAGAAGTATGATTCCCATTGGAAAGCTGCAGTTCAAGGACTCTGCTTATATGAAGAACAGCAAGGAAAGATGGTGTGAGTTATGACAGGAATGGGAAAAGCTACAGATATAATAGGACCCCCAAATCAGCATCTTGAAGACGAGGCGACTCACAGATCGCTTTGCTATGGAAGCCCGTGGTCAAGCACTGAACCTCAACTTCAGCAACTAATGCTTTTCTACTTTTATCTTTTAACCATAATTCATATAACAGTGCCTGGCACAGAGTACGTGCTCAATAAAAATTAGCTAACTCAAATTCAACAGGCCAAGACTGCCACTACACCTCAAGATCCTCTTGGAGAAGAGATGGTCCCTTTTCCTTTTTAATCTTCTCTTCCTCCTCACCAGTGCCGACAGTCATAGCCGCCACTCAAAAGATGTTTGCTGAGTAAATGAGGGCCTGTCGTAGGTCCCTATGTTCAACCAAACTTTCTTTGATGAAAATAGGATTCTGTATCTCTCTCAAACATAACGCTCAAAGCAGAAAGGCCCCAGCCTTTTAACAGGATTAGAAGCGGGCTGGTGGCTTTAGCAATGCAGCACACATTAAGGGGCCTTGCAGCCGTTTAGCTACGTGGCAAATCTGTTTTCGATTATCAAATCAGGACATGGTATTTGAAGGCAGCGTCCAAGCAGCTACTTTTCCTGTGAGATACTCGCTGTGCTGGATCCCGCGTGTCCCTGTTTGCCTGTTGCCATGGTGACTGCTGGTCTCGGGAGGAGGAGGAGGTAGAAGTGGGGCCCGTTTCTGCTGCTGACATGATGGGGAGGGACACTCGAGCTAACCAGCCACACTGTATGGGCTCCAGCTGCTCTTGGGGACAGCTGAGATGCTTCTCCGAGGTCTCCCCCACGTCGACGGCATCGGCGCCAACGTTTCTATGGTGACTTATGCAAAACTTATGGACTGTATATGTAAGCAGAAGTGGTGCATTCTAGGGCCTGGAACAAAAGGACCGATTCCCAACAATAGGAAATTCATATTTAATTGAGCAAAAGCAATCTAAGAGAAAACAAGGAGGCCGAGGGAAAGTATAAAGACTCTTTGTAAGGGTTCCCTCAAGTCACATCGTTTCAATTCAACTAAAAAAAAATCTCTTTCCACTTACTCATAGGAGACTTCTGGGAGGTCTTTCAGATTTCCTGGTTTTTGTTCCTTATACAATCGGCTCTCATGACTAATTTTTTTTATAACGCCCTCACAGGTACAGATAGCAACACAGCTATTCGACTTGACTGGAGCACTTTTATTAACTTGTACCAGTGTAAATGGCATTATTTGATGTTCTCAGACCATTAGAGATACTGCATAGGCTGCACACGACAGTGGAATTAGCTGTTTGGTGCTTTCCACAAGCTGACAAGAAAGAATATAATTTTCTCCAGGTCTTCTCCCAAACTGAGGGGCATTTGCTGGCCTGTTAGATGATCTCGTGAGACAAGAAAGGTGGCCCCACTTGGAAATAAGCTGCTTTTACCTTATAAGAAGAAATCTATAGGGACATTTACAAAGGGTTTCATGTTCCTCTGCATATGCTCAGAGAAAAATAATGCATCTTTAAAGTGTCTGGCACAGGAAATTTAGATTTACACTTTCGGAGTACCCCTGCCAAAGTGCATTTCCTCTGTTGCTAGAATTACTGCTTTCCTTCACCTCACTTTAGGTAGCGGTGTTTCTGGAGCTTGGTGACAGCTCAACCAGGTATATGTATCATTTAAATAACTTCCAAAATGATAGGTGTTAGTTGAGGTAGGGAGAGGATGTGAAAATAGCCCACACACAGCTGTAGGGAGTTGACTGTCTTTATTCAGACTTTACTAAGGAAAGTTCATCGTTTCACAGCCCTCATTGTCAGGGAGCTCTTCCTAGGTCATAACCTGAATCCTTTCAACTGCATCTTCCAGAAAATAGAAATAGTGTCATTACAAAAAACAAACAACAAGCAAACACACAAACCCAATGCTTGCTTTAGGTAAGAGTTCTAGAAAGTTCCATGGGCCTTAGGCTGAAGAGGATGACCAATCCTTGAATCTTTATACAGTGTTTTTGTGCATTGTGAATGCACTTCATAAATATGTGCTTAATGAATCAATGACTGAGTATACATTTTTATGCCTTCCTGGTGAGATATTTCATAACTTTCGTCAGATAGAGTCTCCATGGGTTTAACCCTGAAAATATTAAGAACCACAAAAGATTCAACCACTATCCAAAAGCAGTGATCCGAATAATCACAGTGTCTCCTTTGTCTAAAGAACATGCCAGAGCAGTGCTTCCTAAGCTGTGCTGTGCACGTGAATCCCTGGGATCTTGTCAAAGCATAGACTGGGATACAGGAGGTCTGGGCAGGGACCTGAGATTCTGCATTTCTAACAAGCTCCCAGAGTGCCATGGCTGCTGGTTCCAGGGGATACACTCTGAGCAGCAAGAACACAGAGCCGACGTTTAAATGAGGTCCTTTCAAAATCGAGGGCCTCAAGGTGCATCGCCTTACCTTCTTCGACTGTTGACAGCAATGCAAACTGCGAGAATCAAAGCCAGGGCCAGGAGGGATGCCAGGATGATCAGCCATTCTGGTGTGAGCGAACCAAAAGATACCCATGAGCTTGGGAAACACACTTTGTTAAAACAAAAATGCACTTTATAAATTGACCTGGTCCAAACAAGAACCACAGTCAGCACTACGACGAGTCGGACCGAATGGCCCAATAGGCAGATAATACTGGAAGAACGATTTTGCTACGGGTGTTTGTCCAACAATCTTGTTTTAATCTCTCATCATCAGTCAGGATTTTCAAGTCCCTCTAGAAGGAACATGTTTCCAAAAAAGTGTAGAATAACCTGTTGAAACTTGTAGATGCCTTTGGTGCAACATTATTAAATACTAAAGGAAATTTATGCTTCCCTTGAAAGGAACATTCCTTTTCTATATAAGAGCATCCGCCTTACATTTTATCAAGAAACAAAAATGGAGGCCACGTAATAGTGGGTGGGAAAAAGTACGCTCCTGTGGAGGGCTGAAGTTATGCACATTCACTGGGGGGCCATTTGGCAAAACTTGTCAAAAGCCTTCAAAATGTTCATGGTTTTGATCCAGCAGTTACATTTCTAGGAATTAATAGGACCTCAGAAGTCACTATGAACATGTTCATTACTGTGCTATTTATAAAAGTTGAAAACAAGCTAATATCCAACAGTAAGGGATTGGTTAAATAAATTAGGGTATATCCATTGTATTATGTACTACAAAACAGGGGAAGAATATTTAGTGACATTGGAAAGCTGTGGCCAACCAGTTGGGAATGGTAGTTTACTAAATAGCATGTATGATATAATTACATTTTTGTATATAAATTACATTGAAAAATGATAGGAAGGACATACATAAAAATGGTAACCATGGTATTTCTGGATGGCGAGGTATGTAATAAGTGATTTATATTTTTGTCCTTTTGTTTAGATGTACTTTCTAAAATGTCTCCAATAATCATGTATCATTTGTGGACTACTAAAATCAAGCTTTAATAGGATAAAAATATGACTTGACAACGTAAATAAATTCTATTGCCCAGTGGGTTGTGTATCTGTGCAATGAACGAGAGTTTGTGAAACCAGAAAGATGGGAAGTCATTCATTGTCCATTCCTCTTTGGGAGTCTCGGTTTTCCTCTGATTTCCTGCTCAGTACTGCCTCTGCCTGACTGCTACCTGCTTAGGTGAGTATGGGGAGGGAGGTAGAGTCAGGAGGTGGGGAGGCCGACAGGAGGGTATCATTTCTGTTCTTTCCCCTGGACTCCAGTCCTGAGATGCCTCATATTGACTCTCACTAGAGCCGGGAAGAATCCTGCTGCCTGGTTATAGCTCGTTGCCTCTCACTCACCTGCTCCTCCCTGGCAGCCCACTCCCTCTCTCCCTGTGCTGGTGCTCTGCCTTCAGCCGCACTCAGGCAAGCTGGGGCAAGGGGGCGAGGCACACACCACATTCCTCCCTCTCCCCAAGGGAGGCTCAGCTTGAGACCTCTGAAGAGGGAAGAGTTGAAAGGATAATTTATAACCCTAGGAAAACCCTTCCTTTTTTTGTAATCCTCTTTTACAAACGCTTAATTTTGAGCCCAAGTCAAAAAAAGAATTTGCCTCAAATGCCTTAAATCTTGATGCTAAGGAGAGCCAGGTGTCACAGCCCCCTCCTTGCACAGGTAACACATTCTGAAACTTTCTTCTGTCTGGATCAGTGAAGACTGTCCAGAAAAAGTAGTTTGGGGGCCAGAAGGATGTTTTCACTCCACCCAACACACATGGCCCTTGCATCACCTCACTGTCTACAATGTGAGAGGAAAGTCACACGCTTCACCCCTAAACCCAGAAATAAAGGGGAGAGTGGATGGGGATAGGAAGAACCTGGGTGTGACAGGGAGTCCCGTGGGTGATCGCCATCTGGGAAGGAAGCTGTAGTAACTAACATGGCACTTCTCAGGGATAGGCCAGGGACAGGTCTGAATATGAGCTCAGTCAATCTATGGGACTGGGTGGAAAAAAAGAATGTTCCATGCTTTCCCACCAAGAAGCTGTAGTGCTCTCATTCATCCTTTAGCTTGCAGAGAGTAGCCATCAGTTTCAAGGGTTGGACACCTAGGAGAATATGCTTTTGAATTGGTCTCTTCTTTCTGGGACATTCAGACTGACCTGCTTTTAGCATTTTTTTTTTTCTTCACAGCTTAAAACTCACCTGGAATTTGAGGTTTCCGTATAGGACCCGAGGTCGTGTTTGCCCCACCTTCTTGACTCCCTCTTGAGTATCCTAAGGGGAAAAACAACATCTCTCAGCCAAAGTTTGAAACGCATAACCACAAGTTCTTTACAGAGCAGCACACAGGGCCAGCCTCTATGTTCTGCATCACTGTGAAGCTATTCAAAGACTCAAGCCACAGATATTTATAAAGTGTTACACCAAAGATACCTCCCCAGAAAAGTTCGTTTTGATTCAGGCTAAGGATTGGAAATGTTATTTTTCATCAAGACATGAGGATTCTCACCAGCAGCGTTGTGCAGTATGTAAGACCTTGGGCTGCAGAGCAGGATAGCCCTGGACTCGAGTCCTACCTCTGCCTCTTGTTGGCAGTGCGCCTTGGGTCAAGTTATCCTCTCCAAGCCTCAGTTTTCTCACTCGTAAAATGGGGTAATAATAGTATCCACTTGATCATAATTTGACAGAGGTTTAAAGAAGCACACAATAATGGTAATTGTGTGTAGCTGTTATGTTCTATTTTTAATTTGGAATCTTGCTACTCAAAGTATGGTCCCTGCACCAGCAGCATAGGCATCACTTGGGAGCTTGCTAGGAATACAGAATCTCAGGCCTCATCCCAAGCCTACCCAATCAGAACCTTCATCTATCAAGATCTCTAGGAGACTCACATGCTACAGAAAGTCCAAAGGAAATCTAAAAATCACATCTGATATCATCAGAGAAGTGAACATAAATATTACAAAATAAGGACTTGGGGTCACGGCCCTTTCTGTCTATGAAAAATCACCCTATTAGAGTCCCTGCTGATATATTACTGAAACATGCCTTGTTTTTAGAAGGCTGAACATTTTCTACTGCTACAAAACAAAACAAGGAAACAAACAAAAAAATCTCAAGCTGGAAGGAAGCATCCAAGACAAAGACTCCACAAGTCAGAACAGGAGGCTCATCGAAATGAGGGAGGTATCATATTGTAAAAGAAACTTCTAAGACATCTTGTGAAGAGACTCACCCAAATGAAAGCTGTGGTTTGTGTTTGTGTTTTTTATGCTTCCTCCACTGCTTCAAAACAAAATTTGAAAATTCCCACCAAAATGAACGCTTTTTTCCCTACCAAATGGGAACCCACTGCAGAATCCTGAAGGCCTCCAAGGGAAGAAAAAAACCAGGGAAGTCTGTTTGGCCAACCAATGGATGAAGATGGCTGGGCTTTAAATGAAAAGCTTTTCTTAGAGCGTCAAACTGTAGACTGTGTGTGGTGGACACTGACATCTTGACTCTGGTGGTTACTTTATACAGTATGGCTCCATTTATGCAATCTGATGTTTTTGTTAAACTCAGAATGGAGCAAAACAAATTCTTACCAGATGTCTGGCCATTTCAACATATCCCATGCCATTCTGACAGTGGCTTTTCACTTTACAAACTTCAGAAGGAGTCCGTGGTGCTTCCTGGCTGCCTCCTAGAGTTCTTGGTCACTGGCAGGTGTTCACCTGCACAGGTCATGGGATACTGGCCATGTAAACTGGACACCTTTGGCCTGGAAAACCACCTAAGAGGTACAGTTACTCTTGCTGGTCTTTCTCTGACTCACAGCAGCCTTTGATATTGGAAAGGGAGGCTATTAATGGATCATAATCTCTTTATTTTGATTTTCAAAAAAAGCGCTCCCAGCAAGGAAAGATCTGGGTGTGTGTACGACCAGATGAAACCTCTTGTTTGAACAATGGACACCTGTGCAGGAGTCAAACAAAAGAGACCGCTCCTGCCCATCTGAATCTCACTTCAAGCAAAAGCCGAAGAAGAGGGATGAGACACAGCAGGCCTCGTTTTGCGCCCTAGAGGGCTGCAAATCTAGCCAGGGTGGGGCTGGCCAGGAAAGTAGGTTCTGCAAAGAAAGACACATGACATTGCAGTAGAGAGATGAGATCCAGTCTGAGACGTGTGCACAGAGACAATTCAACTGGCTTCAACTGTGAGAAAAACAGTCTAGGATAGTGCTTCTCAAACTTTAATGTATATATAAACCACCTCGTGGAGGGGGAGAGGTCTGGTTAATATGCAGATCTTGATTCAGTAGGTCTGAATGGCTGGGGATTCTGCATTTCCAACCAGCTCCTAGAGGATGTCCCTGCTACTGGTCCAAGGACCACACTTGGAGAAACTGGGCTCTCTTGATTTTAGAGAGCATTGTCTCTTAGTAATACTTCCCTATCATTTCCAAAATACTTTCACATTCCCGATTCCTCATGTTCTTCATAAGAATTTTAGGAGGTAACTGAGGCTGGTGTTCTGATTCCCTTTTTACTAATAAGGAAACTGAGGCTGGGAAAGTCTAAATGCCCCACCCAGGACTCCAGAGAGCCTGGGACTTCTGTCTTCATTTTAGAAGCATTTCTAATGAAGAAGCCACACCCCTGGGTTCTTCATAAAAGGTTATTGCTAAAGCTACCATGTAAATACCCATCTTCATATTTGCTTTAGGTGTGTGAATCTTTAAGCCTGGCGGCAACCCCAGCCTTGACTTAGCGTGAAGAGAAGGACAACAGTACATTCCCTGGATCACCTGGCTTGGCTGGGGGCACCTGCACCTACGATGCTCGGGGAGACGACAGTTAAGACAGCACCGGCAGAACCTTTCAGTGGCCCCAGCAACAGGGGGCACAAGGAAACCTGCCTCATGTCAGACTTCTGCTGCTCAGAGTACCGTTTCCACAGCAAACAGGTCCATTCAGTAATGCACGCTTGGGAGCAATTATGGTCATTACAGAGGGCTCGCTCCAGACCCTGCTTAGGAGAGGCAAATATGGGACCCCTGGGCTTGAAACCTGGCTCCACCACCCAACTCACCAGTCATGTCAACTCAGCCAAGTTACTTAGCCTCTCTGAGCCTTAGTTTCCTCATCTGTAACATGGGGACAATAATAGTATTTATGTAGGTCTCAGGGTATGTAGGATGATTGAGTTAACAATAAATGAAACACAGGAAATTGCTGATAACTGACTGTTGACCTACAGAAACGGCAGTTCCATAGGGTCCAACCTAATACACGGAAAGTGTTTAGAACAATGCCACTGACACGCAGTAAATTCTCAGTAAATGCTAGCTGTTCTGCCATGTTCTGGGATTATGCTAAATGCTTTACATGTATTCTATCATTTAGTCTTGAAAACAATGCCCTCTGACAATTATTATTATCCCAATTTTATTGGTTAGGAAATTGAGTCGCAGATTCTCTAAGCAACGTCTGCAGTTAGTGTGTGAAGTTGCTGGGATCAAACCCAGGCCATTCTGACTTCAAAACCCACCATCTTAATCACTCGGTGTAGTGCAATGTTACATCGAGACCCTGCTTGAACTCTTCCTGATCCTTTCAGACAGAAAAATTTTCTCCAAAGCAGGAGTTCTCAAAGTGTGGTCCCTGTCGCAGCAGTATCAGCATCACCAGGGAACTGATGCAAAACGCAAATACTCAGGCTCCACCCCAGACGTGCTGCATCAGAACTTTAAGGACGGGGCCCAGAAATGTGACGTAACAAGCCCCCTCCGTGATTGTGAGGCATGCTAAGAAAGCTGGAGAACCACTTGTATAGAGACGCTGACTCATACTTCAGTAATAATCAGCAGGTTCAATGATGATGACAGCAAGTAACTAAAGCAGCTCAAACTCACCAGGTGATTCTGTTCCATGGGTGGTATGGGACCTCCCACTGTGGTCATCGGAGGAGCCTTGGTCTTCTGTAAGGAGAATCAGGGAAGGTTCAGTGCGGTGTGTTCTGGTTACACCGCCATCTGCATTTCTTCATGTTTGCATTTTCATACAGCCCATCACAAAGTTTAGTCATTTAAAGGTAACCAAAAAACGACGGCAAAGGAACCTTGAGTGGATCCATGATATTAATTACTGTTCATGACTTAATCCACTATTGAGTGGGCTAGAGTTTTAATCAAAATTAAGGAAACTAGACAGCAAAGACCATCGAGGAGGTGCGGCGTTGGAAGAAATCTATGTCTCCGCAGGTCTGAGGTTGGGACTTGATAGTGTGCCTTTGAAATAAGGACTGTATGCTTTGGATGATGACAAATGTGATCACAGGGAGTCGGTGTACTCTGAGGCTTTGGGCATGAGACATTTAAAGAGATTTCTCTGACGCAGGAGATAGAAAAAGCTTTGGGTGTGCAATAAAGGATCTTGGGGTTCTATTATGTAAAGATTCAAAGAGAAAAGTTAACTGCTTATTTAGAGAAAAAGAGCCTGAAGATAAGTGAAAAAGAAAGGGGGAGATGATAGCTAGCATGTGAATAATGTGTATCTTGTTATTAAAAAACATTTCAAATAATATTTTTCAAAAATTAAATCTGTATTTTGAACTCCAAGAGTTAATATAATCCCATCTTCTCAAACATCCATCACCAAAAGGCTTTAGATTGAGACAAGTTCATGAATTGCTAAAATCTGGATCCACAGGTCAAATCTTGGATTTAGCATCTGAAAACTCTCACTCTGCTCCCTCCTCCCCACACATTTTCCAAAACTATCTGAAATCTTAAAACAAAATAAAACAGAAGAATGGTTTCATCAGATGGCTCTAGTCACGCATTATGAAGGTACCTATAAGGAATATACAGTAATCTGATCACCACCATTGATGAGAGAAGGCGGAGGGAGGTGACTCGTCATCTCTCATGTAATGGTATAGAGGAGATAGATTGCTTTGTTCCTTGGCTGACGGTTAGAATAACTGAAAACAGCATTTGCTGAAAGGCCAACATCAATACTACCACCACCACCACCA